CAAGATGATGTTGAGAAGTGGAAGGGTGAGGGAAAATTGCCACAGATGTCCTGTTTCTGCTAGCTAGGGAATTCCATGTGTTGTTCCTTGCTTGCTCCGAGGCGTAGCATGTCTCGGAGTCCCAAACCTTCCCTCTCCTCAATCAGTGGACAGAATCTATTCCTGTTAAAAGTGGTCTCTGTCTGAGAACATAGGAACTTAATATTGGCTTGTAAATAAACTGGGCTTTATGTGCTCCCCTTATGCTTCTCCATTCTCTCTAATTCAATAAAAAGCTGAAAATTACCCTCTCCAGCTGCTGGTGAAGGGAAGCAACAGGAAAACTTCCCCTGCTTGTCTGCCTATGTTGACCATGAAAGGATGGAAGAGGATGAAGTAGAAAGAGTAGCCTCTTCCATCATCAGGAAGGAACTTCTTGAGTGTGCTCTGACACTGCATGTGTTTGCTCACACATGGAGTCAGCAGCAATTTCCTGGCATTCCTTTTCCCTTGCATTGAATGCATGTGGTTCATTTTCTAGGATCATCATTCATTCCTGCCCTTTTTTTCTGTAACACACAGCAACTGTTAGTTTTAGTGTCACTTACTAGTCCTAATCTCTGCTCTTGAGTTTTGGGCAATGCTTTCTGGATTTAGACTGAATGAGAAGATGGACTCTGAGCTCATCTGGACCAGATGCCTTCATGAAAGATGTTCCTGCAGGTGCCAGAGCTCCCTGCGCAAGATGTTTCCCTCCACTACTTTATTCCTGAAAGTGCTTGTGGCAAGAAGCTTGATTTAAAACATATGCCTTTGATTTAATGTAGAATTAACTTTAATAAATCCAAATTTAACTTGAATTTCTCTGAATATATTTAGCTTTAAAACCTTCCAAGACTGATCCTCCAGTTAGAAGTGGGTAGAGGAGCTTCTGTTCTGCCCAGGTAATTGCAGTTCTGGTCAACATGCTTTGAAATGCGGCTGGTGCAGTTAGGAAAGGCCTTGGGGCTGCCGAGTGGGTGACTCTGGGTCCCCCATGCAGCTGCTGCACCTCTTTGCTTCTCTCTCTGTGGGAAGGATGAATTTGGGGTTGCCTGTGGGCCTTCTGCTCTTGTCAGCATGGAGCTCAGGGCATGGTCACCTTGGGTGCCATGGGCGCATGCAAGACATAGGGAAAACATCAACCTGAAAGTAGCATGGTGCAAAGATTGTCTTTTGCCCGTTTCTGTTCCTGTGATTAAAATAAGGCCTGTTCTCATGCTCAGGCATTGAGTTAACATAATCAGTGGGAACGAACAGGATTTAGAGGTTCAGAAGGGCCTTTTGGTTTGTGTGCAAGTTTATTTGAAGGGATGCATGTGAAATTCCTGCTTCTCTTCATCTTTTCCCCCTTGTCTCTGAAGTTTAAAATAGAAGATGGATATAGAAGATGGATAGGCAAGCTGCGGTCAAACAAAAAATCCCTTCCCTCTCTGTCCTGTCTGCCCTGCACCAAATCCCTAGATGCCAAAGGTGCAACTTGGCACAGATTTTAGCAGTGGTGACAGTGCTGTGGTGATTGCCGAGGCTCTCCCTTCTCTGAACAGCTTACATTTTTAGAGTTCAATGTGAGGCCTGGTGTCAAAATAATTTCGCATCACGGGAAGGTGTCATCATCTTGAAACAAGCTGATTCCTCATCGTTTCCAAAGACATACTGTGCACTGTGTACTATGCAGTCAGGTGAACTTATTTCATTTAAAGACAATGTGAAGTAGCCCAAAGAAGTCACTGGGCTGCTTGCTCATAGTTTTGGAAGGTGATTAACAGAGCAGTTTATTTCCTGTGTATTTAATGTTTTGGGCTCTGTGTAAATCTTGTTAACGTGTGTTATTACCACAAATATCAGCTTGCAACTAAGGGTCTCCAACCCAGACAGTGATGGGTAGAGTGCCAAACCTTTGGCAGTTGTTTATTAATGTGGACTCAAGGGATGCAAGGACAGGCTGCTGTTTGGAGAGGCTGTCTGGCCCAGCGAGGTGCTGGCAAGAACATTAGCTTAACTGTGAGCCCTAATTTGCCATCCTCCTGTGTGCAAGTGAACATCTGCGGCTGAACTCCTGAAGGCTTGCGCAGAAGCACATAAACTATTGCTGAGCAGGTAAGGATTAGCATGGTAAAGAAGATGCATCTCCTGGTCATCCATGTCCTGAAGCTTTTTTTGGGGGAAACTGGAGCCTGGGGCTTCTCACTTTAGTTGGCTCACAAGTTACAACGGGAGTTACTAGTAGTACTGCCATCGGCTTAGTAATGAGCAGTGTTACGTCCCAGAGGAAGGCAAAACCAAAAACATTTGGCACAGGCAGATAAGAGAACCGAATAATTTTACTTACTGTCACTGGTGGAAAAAGAGTCTGGGCTTTTCAATTTTTTTTTAAAAAAATTATTTTTATTTTAGAAAAGGAAAAAAAAAAACTCTGCATGGTAGAGCGTACGGTATATAATCTCAAAACATAACAATGATATGGAATGGATTATTATCCAAACTATTTAAAGAAGTCGAACCTAAAATCATTTGTAAATCAACACTCATTACCATGAAGACAAAGGCAATCAACACTTTGTTTGTTTGTTTGTTTGGTACAGATTTCCTTGGTAACTTCAGCCTGAATTTTCCCAGGGTTGGGGAGAAAAGGGGGCAAATACTGCCTGTTGTCCTACCCATAACAGTACTGACCAAGCTTTGTGCTTTGACATGTAGCATCATATGGCTTTGTATACATTCCGAAGCGAACAGTGCAACATCGTCATCATCGTATTCGTTCCACGTTCGATCTGTTGCTGAACATGACTTCAAAAGCCTTCCCGAAACAACAACGACAGAAGCAGAAAGTCTCTAACAATCAAGATTTCATCCCAGAAATCCGTGTAAATTGTAGCTCAGGGCTGGGGAGCCGCACAGAAGACAAGGATGTGACAGCACAATTCAAGGGCATCCCTACGGGCTACGTGAGACTTGTTCTGCAGGCAGTTTCTTGCCGTCACTACTCACTTTGTCCCTGCAATACCACAAAGCAACATTAAATCCAACTCGAAACCAAAATGTGGGGGGGAACGTTTCTCTGTGCCCCCTCTCCCCGGGGCCTGGCGGAATGTGTCTAGCTCACGCTCAGGTAAGCAGGAATAACGGCACAGTGGATCCCCCCCCGGCCCCGCTGCAAACAGAGGGAGAGCAGCGGCACTCCGCAAACTCCCCTTGGCCTGACCCTGTGTTTTGGGGTAACCCTTGCAGAGCCCACGGAGCAAGCGCACATGGGCATTTCTCAAACTAGCATTTACAGGTAGAAAAGAAGCCCGGAAAGAGACTGGATGTTCCTGGCCTCACTGAAGGAATAATAAAACCGATTAAAGTAAAAGCCAAAGAAAGCAAGCGTTAGCGTGTTTGCATCCTCTGCTACGTCCCACTCCTCCACCTTCTGCTCACAAGCCCTTTCCATACTCCAAGCAAGCGCCCCCAGACTGAGGTGCGTGAGGCTGCAGCCGAAACCTCATGGCTGAGGCGGGTGTTTCTGTTTGAAATACCATAAATGTATTTGACTTGCGTGCAACTGCGTGGGGCATGTTCAGGGCAAGGCTTGTTCAGTGAATCAGCACAGGGGAAGATTGGACTTGGGTCTAAGCTCATGGGTTAATTAAAAGCAATTGAATAGTGTCCCCAGGCATGGCACTAGCATAGCGTACACAGCATCAGAGCTGGGATGGACGTCCTCAGCCTTTCCTGGGCATCCAGTCAGAACCATGGAAGCTGCAGAAAGTTTACTGTAAATCTCCAGTACTGAAATGGCTAAAGGAACCGGACCTTAACTGGTCACTCATCTTAAGTTTTGCACAACCAATTCTAGTTAAAACAAAACCCAAAATAACAATAGCTGATGTCCCTGTTGTTGGAGCCTTAAGACACCTGTTATACTACTGAGCCCTACTCTTTTTTTTTTTTTTAATAAAACACTGTTTTAAGATACAGCACAATAAATGTGCTTATTATGCACTCTAACATAGAGCACAGAAATACAACACTACAGAGTGCAAGTCTAACCATCTCCACAGTGGGAAAAGTGCGAAGGTTAAAAATATGCATGTGGCTGAACACAAGACATTTTTATAAAACATGACGTGGAAATCTTGTACTAACACTTTGATCTTTGTCACGCACGTGAGTGAACAGGAATGGTCAGCTGCTGATTCTCCTCTTGCAGTAGTAGTAGTAGTGTAACCCTTTCAAAGGTAAAACATTGGAAAGATGAAGAGAATAAAAACCAAAAAAAAAAAGAAAAAAAAAAGTGTCCCAAAATGTTCCCGTTTACCACTTTTCCAGTAGTTATGTTTTTCAAGAAGTAAACACGTATGGTCACCTTGCTCCTCACCACCAGTAAGGGAAGCAGCGAAGCGGCTCCCCCGGCCCCAGAGCGCTCCCGCGTTGCACACTCACACGCACAAACACCCCACAGGAAAAAGTGCACTTTCAGTTGCGGATACAAAAATAGATTGGCACATTCTTTTTTTTTTTTTTGACACAGTGAAGAAATCCTCTGTAAAAGCTTTTTCGCAACGGCTACGAAGTCCCCGTGTAAGTCGCGGCAGGTCGGCAGAAGCAGCCGTGGGCGCAGGCGCTCGGGGCTGTGAGGTGGAGGGGGCGGTGAGGGCCGCCCTTTGTGCTCGTGGATGTCTGGTTCAGGGGCGCTAACTCGTGCGTGCGCTGTCCCCGCGGGCAGGGCCAGCTGCCTCCCGGCTTCAGCCAACGTTAACCATTAACCAACATCTCGGGCTTCACCTGCTTGGAGAAAATAGCAATACGGAAAGCTGTCAAAGCGGAGAGTCTTACGCCAACGCAAAGTTTCCTATATGTCACTGGAAAAAGAAAAAAAAAAAAAACTGTTTCTGGAGAGCGAGAGCAGGGCGAGCGAGTGGAGCGTTGCGAGGCCGCTTCCGCGTGTCCAGCCGTGGCGGCAGCTCCACAGAGCCGGCGCGGAGCCCGGAGCCCCTCCGGCAGGGCAGCCGGCGCTAGGAGTGCTGCAGCAGGCGTCTGTAGTGCGGCATCACTTCGTGCTCGGGCAGGTGCAGCGCGAACTCCAGGGCCACCAGCACCGGGAACTCGAAGGCGATGAGCTCGCGCCGGTTCAGCCGGAACTTCTCTTCCAGTTTCTGCAACGACAGCCCCACAGGAACGGCCCCGTGAGCGACGCCTTCCCTTGCAGCACGTGGCCTTCCAGACACACGTGTAAGCCTGTGCTGCTCTCGCTAACCCTCTGCCTTGCTGGTGGCTCCTGGAGTCACGGTTTTCTCTTCCCACCCCTGACTGCGCCTACCCAGGTAGGCACTGAGGATCTCCCTCACTGCCACTTTACTCAACAAGATACTTCTTTTTAACTGACTGAATGTACCGAGTTTGGCTGAGCGTGCTATTTCTCCTGCTCTACTCATTCCATTTCTAGCAACTGTATCTTTTACTCATCATAGCGATTATGACTGCAGGAAGAGGGAATACCTTGCTACATGCATACATCAAAAAGCACTTGCGTGGTGGAATACACACTTCTTGCAAATGCCCACGAAGTTCATACCCGCCCTGTAATCATGAAGTGTCCTGTCAATGTTAGAATGTGTTAGAACCTCCTACTGGGGAAATCAGTCCCGTTGCAATTAGCTCTATTTGATTTTATAGATACTTGAGAGGCCAAAGGTATCATCTGCCAACAATTTTAAGAAATATAAGTAAAAGAAGCCACTGTCCTCAACAGTGAGGAGATGAATTGCACAGTTGGCTTTCTGCTGTAACATATTAAATCTCTCTTCTGTTTTCGACAGTTTTGGATACTAGAGGAAGGCAGTTGAACAGAATTTCCTCCTCCCCCTTCGCTTCTCATGACCTGCCTGGCTTGCTGCCTCTCTATCTACCCACTGGATTGAATGAAAGGCTCGGGGTGTCTTAAATAAAGGACCAGTATTTCAGGGTAGCAAGACAGGCCAGATCAACTCCCACTCTTTTTTTTTTTTTCTGGTTATTTGTAGGCCACTCTAATGAACTGACTGTCAAGCCATTTCTGTGACTGTGGCATAAGGGCATGAATCCGCTTCTGCTTCCCAACCACTTTCTTGTGTCTTTTGAACCAAGCAGAGTTTGGTAGCCAAGCACCCAGCTGCCTGTCTGATTTTCTATACAGATATATGAGATGATTGCCATTTTAGTGCTTGCAGCTGGCTTAGGGAATTACTTTAGCATGGTGTGGGTAGAAGACCAAACACAGAAAGCAGGCTGGGGTAAAGTGTTCTCATGGAAAATGATGTTCTACACCCAAAAACTTAACTTGAGGAAGGAAATCCGAACCTAGTAGCCTATTACCCTCCTTCCCAAATTAACACCTGCATTTACCTTTCAAATGAGAGTCCTTAATGGTTCTTGAAAACACAATTAAGGGAAAATGAATGCCCTGAAGGTTAACTTTTGGCTTGTATCAGGTAAGATAGTATGTGGCACCACACTGCTCAATCTCGCCACACAAGCTTCCCACTCCTCCGTAGAGGCACTGGGCAATGCCACCTCTACATCAACGTATAATAAAGGCAGGCAGGTGGCTGGCTGAACAGCAAGGTCCCACAGGAGGGCATACGTACGTCTATAAGATGCTTGACTTCGTGTTTTCTGAGGTCGCTGCCTATCTTGGCGGCAAGGAGCACGCAGGCACCAGCACAGAGCTTCCTGTTCTGCTTGTTGAGCTTGCCCTTGAGCGCCAGCTTCTCGAAGTACACGAAGGCCATGGCCACGGTGGGCTCCTCGAAACCGCACTCCTCCTGAGCCAGCTTGCGCATCTCTCTCTTCAAGCTGCATACAGAAACCAAGCAAGCATGCCATGAGGTGCGTGGCAAAGCATTTCTGTTTCACCGCTAGAGTCCTTCTTTCAGACATTTCTGCTTGGTCAAAGGGAGAGGTGAAGAAAGACGTAGTTTACTGGGCAAATGTCCTGATATTCTGTTTTGTGGATTACATTTCAACCTCACCCTCAATAAACAGCTGTAGCAAACTATAGAAGAACCTAAAAAGCTTTGACACATTCAGTAAAATGACTTCATCAGAATACTTAAGCTACATACAATTTATTTAATGACAACAACTTCATTGCTTGTGATCTATGTGCAGCTTTGCTGTTGGTTCTATTCAGTCAAATTCAAATTAACAGTCCCCCAACGTACTGCAGACTTCTCTAGTTAGCAAACATGGTTCAGCATCCTTCCAGACACTGCCATCTCAGGAATCAAATGAAGTCCTCATTAGTTCAGCAAAGCAATATGTCTAACCTGCTCTACTGGAAGAAAGACAAAATATTACAATTTCACTGTGAAGGTGATCACTTTTTTTCCTTCTGGCTATGCCCTCTGAACAAGGCAAAAAGATTCTTCATCTCTTTTTAAGTTAAGTGCCATGAGGCTTCTTTGTTTTCTCTTCCCTAGGTCTTACAGAATAACCCGCACTCACTTTGCATCCCCACTCCTTCAGATACTGTGTTTTACACCTGACTGGTACATGGTTGAACACGTTCCCCCATTTTGTTTAATTGGGCCATTAATCAGAGAAATCATCTGACTTATTCCGCGCCTCCACAGATGACTGTTCCTGGAAAATCGATCAATACTCTGCTGTACTTTGTGTGCAACAACTGCACTGAAATGTGAGGCAGCTGCATCGTGTTGCAGCTGTATCAGGCCTGGCAATGTACCTTCGTATTTTACTGAGGGTTAACTTGATGTGAGGGAACTTCTCCTTGAAGGTCTCGTTCATGTCCTTCTTGAGATCTGATGGCTTCACATAGTCAATGACTGTAGTCTGTAACAGAGCAGCCAAGATAAAAATGACTCTTGCAGTTTGCAGCCAACACTACTCAATACCAAGTTCCCCAATGCTGAAAAGTAAGGAATACCAAAAAATGTCCTGGCCTTCATGTTTTCAGATAGGGAAAAGTTAAGTCTGAGTTAGGCTAACAACTTCCTTGTGATGGCTCCATCCGAGCAAGTGACCTGAAATCTGGAAAGACGCGAGCACAAGCCCCGAACACCATGCGCCTGATGAGGAGCCTTCTGAACATGGATGAGTTTAAGCTAAGTGGGTGTGGATTAAACCCAGCTGACAATTCTCGTTACACCAGGACAAGGTCATGGGTTTGCTGAACACAGATCTCGTGTGCTTTTCTGGGGTGTTGTGCTTCTGAAACATATTGCCATTCTTTCAAAGTGATTAAGGGAACCTCTGGTACAAATTCTTGAGTGCCACCACCACACATTTACAATAAAGTAAATGGCAGGTATTTCAATATAAGGCAAGATATTAACACTGTCACAAGTTGCCCAAGTGGACAGAAATATTGAGTTAGGACAACATGCTTGTGTGTCTTCATTATGCTGATATTCCTACTTCTTGCTGTTACAGCTTGAAAAGATTTCCCTAAGTATAAGGCAGCCCTCCTGACCAATATTGCAATACTAGCACTGTGTGTGTGTGTGTGTGTGTGTGTGTGGACACATACGTGTGTGTGGGCAGCACTATTCTTATTCCTTCAGCATCCATTCAGGAAGCATTTTGCCAAAATCCTGTCACCACTCAGCTGGCGAAACCTATCAGCTGAACAACAAACAAACCCTTGTTCTGGGAATGGGCCAGTTCTCCTCCTGCGGCTGTTTGCGATTTTGGTTTGGATGCTTCTGCTTGGACAGAAGCAGAAAAGACCCCCGGCTGCTGCAGCCCAGACACAACCTGGTCCCCAGGCACTTGAAGCATGGATGAGGAGAGAGCAGGCTCAAGCGTGATGGGCATCCACCCCCCTCCTGCTACAGACACATCCTATGGTGCCAGGCCACGCTGAAGAGCCCATGGGTATGCCCCATGCAGATTACACAGAATCATAGAATGGTTAAGGTTGGAAGGGACCTCTAGAGATCATCTAGTCCAACCCCGCCCTGCACCCTCAGGGTCACCCAGAGCATGTGGCACAGGACTGCATCCAAGCGGGTTTTGAAGATCTCCAGAGAAGGAGACTCCACAACCTCTCTGGGCAGCCTGTTCCAGTGCTCTGTCACCGTCACTGTTAAGAAATTTTTCCTTAAGTTCCTGTGGAACTTTTGGTGTTTTAGTTTGTGGCCATTA